GGATTTAATTATAGCGCGCTAGCGGACGCTGCGGAGGAGCGTGGGTTAATACAATGAGGGCGCGTCACAAGCATAAAACATACAAAGAGCTAAATCCATTACTGCTCCCAGGGCGTGTAAAGATACTGTGCTTCAAGTTCTAACTTCATTTTAATTACACACACACAATCATTGCATTCACATAAAGATCGGACTATCATGGTCGTGTCTAGTAACAAAGACAGCCCCACCGTCTTACGGTGCCTGTACCTAATTAAGCGCGCCTGGAACAAGCCAAATTCCAGCAACAGTGGCGGTAAGCACCGCGAGTGTTACTACCGCCGGCCAGATAACCAGGATATCTGCTTACAGTACCTCTGCTACCAGACAACTGCCTAAACCTACGGTCTATTCCACAGGATTGTAAAAGTAGGGATGTTTCGAAAATAACCATTTACTCCAATATCAAAACAGCTACGGTAAAAATAAAAAGACGTGCATCATCCCGGACATAATGCAACACCACATGCGAAATTACACAGATATGCGACGTACGGCAGAATGCGTTTTGGCTGCGAACATCTTCCAAAAAACTTGGCATCTCTTAACCATGGGCAAAAACATCTGGAACCACTTATAAAAACCACCCCGTATCTGCATGAACTTTTACCTCCCCCCCCGCTATTCCAAACAACGCGTTTTTCTGGACCGTTCCAATTCGCCTCGTAATTGTAGGGGTGCGTCTGCGATATTACATTGACCGCGAAAGCAGCAACGGCAAAAATACACATTCGTGCATCAACACGGGCATGCCCGCAGACGGCGTATAAAATTGCGTGCCGATTACACGAAGAGAACCCAGTGTTTTGACTGCGAACATGAAAAATCAGCCGATTACAACACTCCGTCCGGAGGTCCTGACCTCCTTCACGGAGTAACAAGTATGGGTAGAATCTTTTGTGAAGCTACAAGAAGGAGAATACTATGTTGTAGTGGATCACCTTTTCAGCTGGGAAGGCAGTTCAGCACCCAGGAGAGTCTGTAGTCATAAACTTACCTGTAGTAGCACCTGGGTGCATTTTTGGTCTGATATGTACTTCTGATGTTGTCAGGACATCTCATGAATGTTGTAGTCTTAAATTGGCAGTTCTCGTGTGGCTTTGAGTATCATAATACATGCATTTCATAAAAACATTTTTATTGCATTATTACCTTTATTTACCCATTACTGCCTGCACTAAGTCACTTTTGGTAGGCATGTATAAAAAGTAGAGACTTTCCATTGATGTATAACATAATGGGGTTGTTTTAGATAAAAGTAGCCTAAAACAAGAGTTCCAGATCTCATACCTTCGACAAATGATGTTAACCCTTCCGGTTGACGAATTATACAATTTCAGTCATTGATTTCGCAAATAAGAGCCTCATTTGCATGATTACATCTCTTCAGTTGATCATATGCTCCACCCAATGACAACCTTATCTTAACAAAAAAGGCTATTCTAGCACTTCCTCATAAATTATGCAAATGAAGTCATAATTTGAATACATTATATCTATTGATGTTCACCTTCACTCAACTTCCAAATGCGGCAAGTATGAAATTCCCAGCAATTACAACTGTGAAATTATAACAATTTCCCATTAATTATGCAAATTAGGTCTTTTTCCACATAATCTATATCCTCAGATGTTCTTCACGGGCTCAATTACATGTCACAAGTGTTTCGTATTCCTATTATAAAACAAAGCAGATTAATAGAATTCCCTCATTATTTATGCAAATTAGCTACTGATTTGCATAATTGTAATCTGATTATGTCAAGCATCACTTCAGCTCCCTACATGCCAAAAATCACAATACATCGACCGGTTATCCTTCGAAGATTTTTCAACAAACGCCCCTGCAGTTCTAGAACAAGCCACTATGGTGCCCAAACTCATGTCACGTGTTTCGTACCCCAAGAGCTACCCCAAAATTCGTGACCCTAACATGTCCAGATCTCGAGATATCAAACCCAGAAGTTCTGCTGCAATACCAAGAAAAGCCGCCAGGAGGCCCAAAATCTAATCATTTTTGGCCTCTTCAAGACCTACCCACATACTAAGTTTCATGACACTGCATATTAAGCTTCTTGAGTTATGCTGTTCACAGACAAACAAATGTGCAGACGGACAAACGCTACTGAAAACATAACCTTCTTGGCAAAGGTAATAAGTAAAATAAAAGTAGTACCATATATTGCAGTACAGTCTGGAATCCCCAGCACAGGGGGCGTGTATAGGTCAGAATGGCCAGCAGGACAAGGGTTTTAAAACGTACATATCTAAGGAATAGTAGAAAACAACGGGTTGTAGCTAACAATCAGCGAAGCAGTTGGCAAGACGTCACGCCTGAACTTTTGTTGTAGATTTTTGCTTTTCGTTCAAGATGTTTTGTGAACAAGACAATCTTTTCTTTCTGTTTCAGTGACGCCTTAGACTGTCCTCTGCTACTTATACCAGTGACACAATAAAAAACAGAATCTTTCAGTTAGCAAAAGTCTATACTCAATAAAATTTTACAAAGTACACATTTATAACTTCTACTGAAATCTAGGCTCTACATTTTACATCCAACCAAGGAGGTTTAAAAGAGAGTTGTTGATCCAACCAAATTAGACCCTGAGACCAAACAGGCCATACTATTGATCACTGTGCATTTTGCACATACCGGACCAATCGTGCCATTGAGCACTGTGTATTTTGCACACATCAGACCAATCGTGCCACTGATCACAGTGTGCATTTTGCACATAAAGTCAAGCAAAGAACACGTATATTGTGAACAATGTGTGAATCTATTTTATCAGGAAAATGCCACCAAGGTTCAATGGAGATAATAGAGGCAAACAATGCACTGCAAATGCTTTAATGGCAGTTGTTAACCATAGGACTTACAGACAAGCAATTACCTGGACAATTCAGATCTTGATACTGATGATAGTATACTATTCATCAGTCTTCCTCCAATTACGCTCCAGCCAGGTTTTTTTACCAGTCCGGTTTCGCTCAGGCAGGTGACTTTTCACACCTTCTTTCTCACATGTTTGCCACGCATTTGAATAGGGCAGTCCATCAACCGGCATTTGCCTTGTGACCTGAAGTACTTCAGTGTGTCTGTTATTACCGGTCATTGCCCTTGTGATCTGAAGTGCTTCAGTGTTTCTGTTATTGTTTTTGGCATTTGTTGATGACAGAATGACAAAAAGTAAAACAATGAAGGTTGCTTGCTTCATTAAATTAATATTCATATACTAAAACGTAATTTATAATATAATTTTTAACAAGAGTGATTCAGACTCAACAGGACGAATGGAATGCACCTGGAAGTGATTGTTCTAAGGAAGCTGTACACAAGTTATCAAATACACAAAAATGACAAACACATGAATTTGGTACCAAAACTGCAGATCTATTAAAAAGCTTCAAAAAAGCAAAATGCACATACACGATTATAGTAACTAAGCTATTACTTCTCCTGGTTAGTAAATGATGGAAGCTCTAATTTACCTTTACGTGGAGATATCTGTAGATATCTCACAATACCTGACACAGTCCGCAGCACCTCTGTATATTAGATCCAAGATTATATTTTCCTTACAACTACAACACCTGCACATTGTTGGTTACAGGTAACTTTAAGCAGAGTTTCACTCCAAAGGAAATGTTTACATCTCACTAAAGCGTAGCCATTTTAACATCATGGCTTCTTGTCGACTAGCAACGCTTCTTATAACCTATGAAAGTAACATCTATTGAAAATGTCACAAGAAGTTAACAGTTATGCTAGTATATTAACGGTAGGATACCCTAGAAGTCTACAATTAAAGCCTTTGAATAGAACAGTATTCCGCTTAACTTTAAGTAGAAGATAACAAAGTTTATGTCAACCTACAAGCTTGCTAGCAATTAGTACATGTATATATCTTAATAAAGAGCATATATTTTTATACCACAATGTTTGACAACCAGCCTCACTACACTTTGTTTAGTTCCAGTCTTTTGCATTTTGATCTCTTTAACTGCTTCTGACGGTTGTCTATTGCAAACATAACGGCTACCATGTCGAACTCAATTACTTGACTTAAGCCTTTCAAAATGTTTTCCACAAAGCTGTGATGTTTGATCTCTAACAGGTTGGACATGTGGGCCACAGAACTGTGATGTTTGATCTCTATCAGGTTAGACATGTTGGCCACAGAGCTGTGATGTTTGATCTCTAACAGGTTGGACATGTGGGCCACAGAGCTGTGATGTTTGATCTCTAACAGGTTGGACATGTGGGCCACAGAGCAGTGATGTTTTATCTCTAACAGGTTGGACATGTGGGCCACAGAGCTGTGATGTTTTATCTCTAACAGGTTGGACATGTGGGCCACAGAGCTGTGATGTTTGATCTCTAACAGGTTGGACATGTTGGCCACAGAGCTGTGATGTTTGATCTCTAACAGGTTGGACATGTGGGCCACAAAGCTGTGATGTTTGATCTCTAGATAACAGGTTGGACATGTGGGCCACAGAGCTGTGATGTTTGATCTCTAACAGGTTGGACATGTCGACCGCAATGTTTGCTACACTGTGAGGGCAGCGATGGTACCAGGAAGCTCCCTTAACCGGCATTTTTTTTTTGCTGACGTTTTCTGTTTGGGTCGAAATTTGGTATTTTTGGTGGCGAATATTAGAACATCACAAGCATATTGAATCACAAATGGCTCTTAGATACTTTGTTCTTTGAGAAATCCAACATTTTCCCAATTTCTGGCGTTATGTTTGTTTCTTTGTTCCTGTGATGTTGAATTTGAATCGAATTTTAAACAATTTCGTTTTATTCTTAATATTCCAAACAAAACCAGTTTAGTTAATCGATGCCCCCGTTCGGGTTGCCAGCTTTTATATCACCATGGTTATATATGTTTAT